GAGCTTTAACCCCCTTAACTATCAATTATGCACAAAATAATGAGGCAGCAACTGTTCCAGCAGCACAGTACAGTCACCGATTACATTATAGAAGAATTGGTTGAACCTGAGAGAAACCCAGGTTTCCCTGTAGTGAGGATGCTGCCCTACCCTGACAAAAAAAATACCTACGTTTTTAATGCAGCGTTTTAAAGGTTTTCAAATTCACTAATTTTGTCCTTCTTCGAGGACTTGGGTGTCTTTGGATACCATAGACAAAAAGTATGACTGTTTTTTGCTGAAGAGAGCTTGGGAATCCTCCTCTGCCCAATCTCCAATGCCCTGCACTGGTATCTACTTGTTTGGCCTGGAATCAGGAATATTGGCTCCTGCAGATGTAAATCCATTTAAAAGCAGGTACACCTAGACAAAACATTCCTGAATCCTTTCCCTTTTTTTTTATTTTTTTTTAGTTGATGCCTCTGCCGAGTCAGTGAGGATGTCTGCTAAGTTACCAGCTTAGCCTAATTGCTCTAGACATGGCCTGGAGACCCAGCTTCCAAAGTCTTGTCTGCCATTCACTGGAGACTTTCTTTTTGGTCTTGGACTTTACAGCAAGCAAAAAGAAGGCTTTCCCTGGTAAAAAGAAGATGACTTGCTCAACTTTTTTTTTTTTTTTTGTGTGTGCAACCAAAGGAGTCAGAATTGACCTCCAAAAGAGTCCAGACAGAAATTCACAGTATATGAATAAGTTACCTGCACTCAAGGGTCGAACTTGCACAACGCCTTTTATTGAAACGTTAAAGGATAATTAAAGCCTTGCATGTTTTTGCATATATCTACTGCTAGAAAGCAATAGATAATTTAAAAAAGGGTTCAAATATACCTGTGTCTCCACCGCTCACTCCCGTACGGAGATCTGAAGATTCTCAGACGGCTGCAAAGGATCATGGGCCGGGCACATGCGCAATACAGATCTTCGATCTGAGAAGAGACCCAAGGTAAATTAATGCAGCAGCGTGCAGCTGCACAGACTCTGTGGGACAGGAAATGCCGGGAAAATAGATTAGAGTCGACACTGATACAGAGACCGGCACCAGCGCTGGAGGGACTCCTGAAAACTACAGGAAAGAAGATGATCGGATTGGGGGGAGGGAGATTTGCCTTTAATGTCACTTTAAGAAAGCATGCTGACAGTGCAAAAATCAACGTTCCTCCCTGACTTTACTAGTTTGCAGCATTCTGGCTTGGCTGCCATTTTACTCACCTGTTTCCTTCTTTGCCTGAGCAGACTCTGGAATGTTGCTCACTACTCCCAGGCTCCCTCTTATGCCCAGACAGGAGAGCATCATCTGAGAGAGTCAGATGGGAGTTTCCTGTCTGAGTGATATATATATAGTGAGTGGGGTGACATCACTCAGACAGGAAACTCCCATCTGACTCTCTCAGATGATGCTCTCCTGTCTGGGCATAAGAGGGAGCCTGGGAGTAGTGAGCAACATTCCAGAGTCTGCTCAGGCAAAGAAGGAAACAGGTGAGTAAAATGGCAGCCAAGCCAGAATGCTGCAAACTAGTAAAGTCAGGGAGGAACGTTGCTTTTTGCACTGTCAGCATGCTTTCTTAAAGTGACATTAAAGGCAAATCTCCCTCCCCCCAATCCGATCATCTTCTTTCCTGTAGTTTTCAGGAGTCCCTCCAGCGCTGGTGTATGTATGTGTATATGTATATATATATCACTCAGCCCAGTCTGACCTTGCCTTTGCGTGGTCTTCCTGCTAGTGCTTTCCTGCTGCTCTGATTATCCTGATTCTGTGTATGACCCGATCCTGGCTGACGTTCTCCTCGAGCTCCTGCTCCTGGCTTGTTCCTGACGACGCTGATCTGGGTTCCTGACCTGGCTTGGACGACTACCCACTGCGGCTCCTGACTTTGGCTTGTTCCGGTTTATGATTCTGCTTGCTCCTGTGGACACTGTTCTTAATAAATATTTTAACTAGCACCTTTTTGCTTGTCTGGCTTTCATTGTGCTCTGACATGGGATTCTCTACAAGCCTCCTGGACAAGGATGGCTTAAAAATAATAATGTTCATGTTCTGGAAAAGCCAAAGCAGAGTTTAGGTGTCAACCCAATACAGAATGGGTGACTGGAATTGGGGGTAAAAAAAAAAAAACCTGTTCAGTCACAATTCCCTTAAACCTGACAGAGCTTAAACATTTTGCAAAAATTAATGGAAAACAAATGCTGTCAAACCTTGAAGGGGGTGTATACTTCTGTAATAAGGTTTGTGTGTGAAATCACGTTTTGTGGAGATACCTTTTCACTTTGACATCTAAAACAGTAGGAGTCTATTTCTGTTAATCAGTGTAAACATAAATAAATAAAGCAGCACTTGGGTGTTCTGTCATGCTCATCCTGACTTTTTAGGCTGGGTTCACACCTAGGCGTATTGAATATGCGCGTTACCGCGATTCACGGTAAAAAACGTGCAACAAACGCCCTCCGAGGGCTACTTGGCTGTATCCCAATGGAAACGTGAGACCAAAACGCCCCAAAGAAGTACATGTACTTCTTTGGGGGCGTAGGCCGTTTTGTATGGCGTTCGGACGGGCGGAAATAAGGCGAGGTTTGATCCAGACCCATTGAATACAATGGGATTTAGATGTTTGAGCGTTTTCTAGAACATTCGCCGAGCGTTGAACGCGCTACAAAACGTTCAGGTGTGAACCAGGCCTTAGCATTTCTACAGCTAGCATTTGAAGTGCATTTCCCCTTTTTATTGCAGATTTTTTTTTTTTTTTTTTAAAGTGAATGCTGGA